TGCCTAGGATATGACTTGAAAATCTGCATTCCCTTTTGTGCTTCATAAGCTTTAACATGACTTCTATTTAAATTATAAACATTTTAAAGGAGCTTTTCAGAAAGCCACCTTCGCTTTTTTTGCTTGTTGTTGAATAAAGCCATATAAAACACGATTGTTTGCCACCTTGGTCATGATGAATCCAGATGTTATTTACCTGTGTGCAGATGCATAAGGTTTGAGAGGAACTGGCAGGTTTCAGGAGGGGATTTGCAAGCTCTGGCATAGTTTTGTAAATTGGTACGAATGTCCTTGAGCGTCACGTTGGAGGCTAACGAGAAGGTGGTTTGGACTGAAACACGGACAGAATTTGACTCCCTGCCAAACAGACACACACAAAAAAAAGACAGCCTTGATCATTTTACACTGTCAGTATAGTCTACTTAGCTTGCTATTATGAATATGAGCAATACCTAGAAGACATACAGCATGTTGAAAGAACTGTGTAATCATCAATTGATTGATCCATTCCTATAACAACTCTGTGCTGTTTTTAAACCCATTCTATAGACATGATCACGGATCCTGGTTTTCTCTGTTTAAAAATAGCTCTAATTTTTCGATTAAAAAAAAATTGCAAATTCTCTGATTAAAAACCCCAAAATCCGCGATTAAAATGAAATGCCACCATTTAGAGAGGTATCAATGGAACACGATGTTTTATTGATACATTTACAATTTTAAAGCAGTGCGGAAGCCTACCAGTGCCTCAATCACTGTAACAAAATAAATTCTAGGTACCTATAAATTTGGGTATTTGGTTTGGGGTTTTTATCATGAAAAATCAGAGCTCTCCCTGCCCCCTTTACTCAGCAGGACACAGGTCCCAGCCCCTCACTCTCCACCCACAGCCCCCCACATCCTCCCAGCTCAGCTGCCAGGGCTAAGGGGCCAGGGACCTGGGTCTGCAGCCCCCTGCTCCCCACACCAGTGCGAAGCCCCAACTGCTGCCTGCGGGAGGTGGCAGTGGCTGTGCGGAGCCTGGCTCCCCTTCCCCTGTGGGCAGCACGGCCAGACTGGAGTCCATGAGGAGGGTAGGTGTAGGCTGGTCGCTGCAGGCTTGGGGTCCCCATCAGACTGCCCTCCCCCGGGGCCTCCACAGCCCAGGGCCAGGTGGGGAAGCTCAGTGCCACCACTGGGAGCTCCACACCACCATGGGAAGGCCCCCCCTGCCCTCCCGGCAGCAGTGAGGGGCACAACTCTGCACCACCAACCCTGCTGCTACTGGGTGGGCAAGGGGCACCTCGCCATGTGTGAGTGTGCACACGCACATGGCACCCTGTGTGTGACCGCCATCCTCCTGCCCACCCCCTGGGCTGAAACTCCGCCCGCCTGCACAGAGCTTTTTACAAAAGTGGAAAGTGTGTTTCTCCATTAAATTGAAAAATCCATGTTTTTCTTGTTTAAAAAGGAAAATGTGCGTTTTTTCCATGGGAAACAGAAAACCTGGGTCCCTGGACATGATAAACATACACCCAAAGGGCCCAATTCTGCCTTAAACCGGATACTAGGATTTGTGCTGAAGCCAGTGGAAGGAATTACCCACAGGGGCTGGGGCAGGTCAAGGGACATTAAGGGCCTGATTTTAAAAACTGACCACCAAGCTGGGATTGCTCAGCACCTCTGGGATTGCTAAATCACAGGCTAGAAGCGACCTCGCAAAGCCACAGAGCAAGTCAGTAGCAGAGCCACAAGTAGTACAAACTCCCAGCCCCACGGTCAGGCCTCTAGGTGCACAAACTCTATGTTATCTACCAATCTGCTGTAGACCCTGCCTCAAACTGCAAGGTTGGATCCAGACCCACACTTCCCCATACTTTGAGGCTGCCAAGAAGAAAGAGCTGGTTGGTTGGTTGGTTCTCACTCATTCCCAGGGAACATCCAGCCCTAATGACTATGAATCTATGAATCTATGAATATTTTGTTGTATCCCTTACCTTGCAACTTTAACGATAGAGTGGCAGTACCCAGGCAGCGTTGAGAGAGACACATTCAGCTGAAGAAAAGAATGGACAATCTGTTACCATGAGTGAATTCAGCGGGGATCTCTGAACTTAGCCACAACCTCCTATTGCAGTTGCAAAGAGGTGTCTTCACACTGTCACCAAGGGAAGGATGAAGCGGCTGTGCCGCTCTAAATACGTGTAAACACCTACAAGCCTCTCTTCTGAGCAGCCCGTGAAATAGTGAGGCAAAAGCCGTGTGTAAGGCAAGGTGCAAGGCAAAGGTGCACCTTGCCTTGGTGCAAGGCAAGGTGCGTAAGGCAAAATGCCCTTGGATGTTACTCATCCAACAAGGAGCCTCCTGCTAAGCTCCAGCCCCACGCTAAGAGTCAGAGACTCAGCCATTTATTTTGCATAGATATCTGTTACCTCCGTGGTGGTTGCAATTTCATCTCCTTGATGCTTTCTGAACGTCATCAGACACACTACCTTGTCTGATAAACTGTTGTGGTGAACCATGGTAACCAAAGTCCACTAATAAGCTAATAAAATGTTCCAGAGATAATGAATTAGCTGGGAGGCTGGAGCTCTGTCCCTGGCAGGAGTGACGTGTCATCTTTTCAAAACAATTTGAACATGAGGTTGAACATGTGTGAAATTTGCTGCTGAATCTAGGGGGAAGCCAGGATATTGCTCCTGGGCTTGGCTCCAGAGTCACCCTAAAGCTTTTTAAAACCTTACGCTGGGAAAATGCAGTATAACAAGACAGCAACAGGAAGGGGAGATGGTACTTCAGCCTGTCCATGAAGACAGGCTCCATTGCCCTGTGCACTTTCTGCAGGGACTTCTGTACAGAATCATACAAAATTAGAGTTGGAAAGGACCTCAGGAGATCATCCCCAACTACAACCTTAGCCTAACAGGCTAAGCTTTCCTAAAACAGGACCTTTCCAGGAATGGTTTCAAGGCATGGAGGTACAGGAAATATGCAGATAAATATCAGCTCTGTTTATTTCCTGCCTGAGCAACCCATCCCCTAAAGGGGAAAGAAGGAAGCCAATAACATGAATTCCACATAAAACAAAAGAGAGTAAAGGGCTTCTTTTTTGTTCTGTATCTCAGGAGTGATGCTGGCTCCCCAGGTCGGTAATCAGCAATGGTTTTTGCCTTTCCAAAAAGCTAGACAGCTTTGAATGGACTGACCTGACCACTGGTATTACTGGGCTGGATGCAGATCGCCAAATATGACAGATATGTGTGCTCTTCTGCAAATTATTAGTAGTAGTAATATACTATTATACTATATATATGTATGCATAACACTATACTATACTATATATCTATGTATAATATTATATCATATTATACTTCTATAATAAGTATATTAATATTATGCATCATATATTATATAAACTATACTGTACATTATATATTAATATACATGTGATATGTATTCATATTAATAATAATATTTGTAATATTATACTATTCTATATATCTTCGTCATCATATATGTCAAGAAGCCCATGCCCCACTGTCTTAGGCACTGAATAAACACAGAACAAAAAGATTCTTTGCCCTAATGACTCCCTTGTCTCTCTCCTAACACAAACACTCAATCAGGAGGGTCTGGTACACCATTTTACAGTCTTTAGCATCAGGCATACTTGCAATGGAAAAAAAAAAAAAAGAGATCCTGATTTGGTTTCAAACCCTCTTCATCTGTCAATTTGCAGTTTTTAC